TAAAAAAAAAAAAAAAAAAAAAAAAAAGGCTGGCCTGCAAAAGGTTTCGGAAAATGCCGAGAGACTAGAGGCAACAACATGAGAGAGACGCACTAGGAAAGAGGCAGTGCAAAGCAAAACATGAGAGAGAGAGAGAGACGAATTAGGAAAGTGACGACTTACTTGAAGAACGATAGTCGACGGCGTAGACGTCTTTCCTGGCCCGCCCCCGTTCCCTTCAGAGCTCGCTCCGTGGCTCGCCTTCGTGGTGGCCGCAGAAGGAGCGGCTGCTGTAGCCGCAGCAGCGGCGCCATTCTGAACGATTTTCTGCAACACGCCTGACTTCAACATTGCCATCGTCATCCACCTGTGATGAACAACTCACACTGATCCCCTCCCTTCCCTTCCCTCCTCCAACAACGATGTACCAAGGGCAGTACGAAGCCGCAGAACTGCACACCGAGCAAGAAGAAGAATTACGCCGACGAAGAATTCGGCGAAACTTTTTTAACGCACGCCAGGAGAGCTCGCAGTTACAAGAAACCAAGAATTCGGCAAAACCAAGAATGCCTCAACGACTGCGACTGCGACTGCGCAGCCTCCGCTTTGCCGTCTACTAGTGAGTGTACCGGACGGCCGTTCCGTGCCAGCTTTATCACAAAGCACCCTCTTCTCCTCCTCTTTCATTCAACTCTCTCCGCTCCTCCACCTCCGCTACACCACGACACCGTTTGAGGATGGATTCACACCAAGAGAATGATTTCAAGTGGTTTCAAGGCGCGACACCTATTGAGAATGAATTCACACCTGAGGCGACACATATTGACAATGGATTCACACGTATGGCGACAACACCTATGGAGAATGAGTTCGCAGCTATACCTAAGGAGACTCTCTCTAATTTGGCAACGACAAAAAGAAATAGGCAGTCGGTCACAATGGCGGTAAGTTGATGATGATGACGTGGCTGGCCAGGTTCAGCGCTCTTCCCTGACCCCTGACCTCGTCGTGTAAGGTCGAGAGATAACCGAACGATAGGACACTAGGAGGAGTAAATAGGACCAGGATTGACCCCTGACCTCGTCGTGTAAGGTCGAGAGAGAACCGAACGATAGGACACTAGGAGTAAATAGGACCAGGATAGGACACTAGGGAGTAAGACGACAAACGAACAATACTGACACAATGGTTAGGCGGGAGAATAAACTCTGTCTAGCTACAGATCACGCCTGCAAGGTGCGCACAAATATAAATAGAAAACTAGACACACAGAGAGAGACAGAAGATGACCATCTGATGAAAAGAGCTGAATCTTGCGATGGATGAAAAAAGGAACATGGAAGACAATCTGTCTGCGGCCTTCACTGTTAATCGACTATACAAAGACGCAACGACACCGGACGGAGTGCACTGCCGTTGTCAAGAGCGAGAGGAAAAAAAAGAGTGATAACAAGCTTGGGCTTCGTTCGGTGAGCTCTGGCGATCGCGACGTAGTCATCGGCAGGCTTGGGCTATGTGCCAAGGTTTTGTCGTTGATACAGTATGGCTTGCCCAAGTAAAAGCGCCTGTAGAATGTGTGTTACTGGCAGTATTCCTTATATACCTACAAACAGTAGAGCACACAACAACTTCGATAATGACCAATACTAAACAGATTGGACTGGAGAAGAAGAATTTACCACTCGCTTACCGAAGCTATGTATGGTCGCCGGGGGGGGAGGGGGGGGGGGGGAGCAAGCTGCGTACGTCAATTTATGACCCCCATGTCATGAATGCGACAGCAGCTTCTTCGGACACTCGAAGAATTCAATGCGCGTCCAATTCTTTCACGACCGCCATAAAAACGTTTTTCGAATGTTTGCTGAGAAGGAATGGAAGACAAAGAAAACGTCAATGGCCAAGATATCCCTGACGAAACTGACATTGAAACTACTAGTAATAGATCATGGTCGCCTCTTCCAGCATTACCACACAACCGCCATCCGACCACCATATCACCATTGAGGAGTCACTGACAATCCACCTTTCCCTCCCTCCCTCACCATTGAGGAGTCACAGACACT